GAAATATATGGTAACAACTGGACATTGTTACTCTCAATGAATGTCAGCTATTATTATTTAGGATTAATGAACATTTATAAAATGCTTTAGAAATACATGGTAACAACTGGATGTTGTTACTCTCAACCAAAAACAAATTCAGCACTTTAACAAAGCTAATGTTTCCCTCACGTGTTATACCTTAGTGTTTTTACTTTTTTGTTTTATTTTAAGAGCAGGATTCATTTCCATAGTTTTCTTGGTAACTGGTATCAGCTGCCACATACACACATGGAGAGAAAGTGAGAACCCTGCCACCAAAAAAGAGATCGCTGGTCAAGCACTGAGCTCCTTGAAATTACAATCAAATGAAATACAAAAGCTTTGCATGAACAACTCAGCAAGAATCATTTGGTAATCTAATTCACTGAAAATTATTTGAAAATAAGGTAATTTAAATACATTTGACAGTATAGGAGAATATTTCCTTCATCTAGCAAAATGAATGTCAAAGCCCTTGGTTCTGCAGACGAACCAAAATACAGAAGTTTAGAAAACAAGGTCCATATTTTTACAAATCATTACATTGTTCACTTAGTTCACCTGATTATTTTCAATCTTCCTCTGCTACAAACTGAAAGGTAACTGCGATTCTAATTAGCAATGTCATTTCTGGCATTTTCACTCAGTGTTTTATACTACTATCCAATTAGACTTCAATTCCAGCATGGTGGGACACAGGAGACATTCTGGTGAGTTGATTATTCATTGATTAGTATTGATATGAATCATTTTAATACTAGCAACTAGGTCAAAGGACACACATCTAAAATCTATTATCATATAAAAATAGAAAGTTCTAACTAGTAATACAAACAGCAGTTGTGAAACCTACACTTTAACAGTTTATACCATACCTTGTCCCTGTTTTTAAGTCTTTTACAGGTATGTTCCTGTATTTAGACAGCTATATGAATCAATGGAAAACGAATAAAACACACATGACAAAAGATGGCTTAGAGTCCTGGTTCTATCACTAATGAGCATATAACCTTGGGCAAGTCATTCAGCCTCCCAGGCCCTCAAACTCTTCCTCTGCAGAACAAGGGCTTAACCTGACTTTGAAGGTCCTTTATGGGCTAAGATTGAAGGATTCTTTCAAAGTGCTCTTTACCTCCAAGCTGACTGAATTCCCTGAGGGCCAGGATGATTTCAGATACCTTCTGCCCTGGTATCGGTGTCCTATACAGCAACGATGGTTGCTTTTTTTTAATTATTCTCAAAAAAACCTTCTTCCTTATTTACAACAGGAAAAGCAGCTTCAGCAGTTCACCTTAATTCTTGTAGCCAGCGGGTCAGTGCAGTCGTCAAAGCGGATGCAGTAGCCCACCTCGTGGCCCAGCACTGCACCTCTTTCCTCAGCTACTCTCCCTGCAACCTTTGGGAAGAAAGATCATGCTGAAAACAGAGACATAGAAATTACTGCGCAGAGCACATACTATGGCAAATCTAAAGGTCATTTATTTTTTAAATAGTATGTGAACACAGTGGAAAATGAGAAGAAAAGGAGCAGGTTATTAGACAGCAAGTGTGATAACCTTTACAATTTATTAACTTACATATTTATATATCTTACTTCATTCTATAATGGATTTCAGGCAACTTCCAAGAACATAAACAATAAAAATGGCATCATGTAAAGATGTTACAGACCAAGATAAAGAGAATTACATATGAAATCTGAGATGAAAGCCAATGAGAACATTAAAACATAGATAAGCCATATTTATGTCGAGCCACAAATTCAGTGCTAAGTTTCCTGGTGGCCAAAGCAGTTACAAGATTCACTCTGTTCCTAAAGAAAGAGCACATGAGCCAGGGACCACTTTTCATGTCTTAAGATAAAGCACCTTCCCCTGGCCAATGAAGGCAGAACAGGAGTAATCACATACAATACTGGACCAAGTTCATTTTCTCTTTGAAGGCAAAAGGATAATGTTTCAAGAGCCAGATAATCTAAAACAATTGCAACATAGTGTCCCAGCTACCAAAATCATTAAAAGGCAAAAAAAGGACCAGAACACAGGTTAAAAAAAAGGGAGGGATAGATAAACAAACTACAGTACATATACACAATGGAGTACTATGCAACAATAAAGAACAATGATGAATCTGTGAAGCATCTCACAACATGGATGAATCTGGAGGGTATTATGCTGAGCGAAATAAGCAAATCACAAAAGGACAAATATTGTATGAGACCACTACTACAAAAACTCATGAAAAGGTTTACACATAAAAAGAAACAATCTTTGATGGTTATGAGGGAGGGGTGTTGGGGGGGGACACTAAATAGACCATTAAAAACAACTGATAAGTGGTAACTTCAGTGAAGGGTAAGACAGTACACAATACTGGGGAAGCCAGCACAACTTGTTCAGGGTAAGGTTATGGAAGTCCATGGACAAACTCAAACTCCCTGAGAGACTGGATTACTGGGCTGAGGGCTGTGGGACCATGGTCTCAGGGAACATTGAGCTCAACTGGCATAACATAGTTTATAAAGAAAATGTTCTACATTCTACTTTGGTGAGTAGCATCTGCAGTCTTAAAGCCTATGAGCAGCCATCTAAGATACTCCACTGGTCTTATCCCTTCAGGAGCATTTTCATTTCAAGAAAATGAAGAAAACTAAAGACACAAGGGAAAAATCAGTCCAAAGGACTAACAGACCACAACTACCATGGCCTCCACCAGACTGAGTCCAGTACAACTAGATGGTGCCTGACTACCATCACTAACTGCTCTGACAGGGATCATAATAGAGGGTCCCAGACAGAGCTAGAGAAAAATATAGAACAAAATTCTAACTCAAAAAAAGACCAGACTTACTGACCTGACAGAGACTGGAGAAACCCCGAGAATATGGCCCCTGGACATTCTTTTAGCTCAGTAATGAAGTCACTCTGGAGGATTGCCTTTTAGTCAAAGATTAGACAGGCCCATAGAACAAAACAAGACTAAAGGTGCACACCAGCCCAGGGGCAAGGACTAGAAGGCAGGAGAGGACAGGAAAGCTGGTAATAGGGAACCCAAGGTCGAGAAGGGAGAGTACTGACATGTCATGGGGTTGTTAACCAATATCATAAAACAATGTATGTACCGTTTAATGAGAAGCTAGTTTGTTCTGTAAACCTTTACCTAAAGTACAATTTTTTAAAAAAAAAAAGGTGGGGAGTAGATGAATGAAAATATTAATAAAGGATCCAAGATAACATAATAAAAGTAAAAGCAGCAATCAAAATAATGTTATGAAGACCATAAACTATAGATAGAATTTCACCCACCAATAAATGACAAATAAAAAGTGAGCGTAGAAAGAGAAAAAAGAATCCAACAGCAAGATCTCCTACCTCCCATAGAAGGCTGTTCAAAGGTTATTAATTTATTAATAATATATATTTTAAATAATAAACAGAAAAGTAGAATAATGCTTACTATTCAGTTTAATTTAAAAAAAAAAAAAAAGTTTAAAGTTCATTATATAAGCTACCTAACTGAAAAGAACCAAAGGAAAGGAGTATTATAGAGCCTTCCTGGGGACCCAGCGCATCAACCCTCATGTGAGGCAGGTGTTTATTCTCTCTCTTTCACAGTTGAGACACCCTCCCCCCGTAGTCCCTGGGTCCTGAGTTTGGGACGTAGGCTGGCACAGGGGTTGTTCCGAGGCAGAGCTTACTGATACAGCCGTTCTGGCCCAGCAACTCCAGGCCCAAGAGCACAGAGGCCCCATGTACCCAGCTATCTGAGCCGAGCACACGCGCTATCTGTCCATCAGTGTTTGAGAAACTGAAGAGCGGATGAGGATCAGAAGTGGCTCTGCCTAATTACTTGAAATTACAGATCTAGAAGGCCAAAACAGAATCAATCATTGAACGACTGGTCTACAATTGGAATAACACCACGTAGTCTTTCAGAATGTCTTATGAAACCAGAAATGCATCCTACACTGCTCTACCTCTGGAGGTTGCATTTCCCAATAACCAGCATTTCACCAGGACACTTTTGTTATTGCCATTGTCTCGATTTCAATCCTACAGACTATCATACTATACAACTTGCAAAACAGCACAAATAGAGAATATGTGCACAGAGATACTAACAGCTTTTGGGGGGAAATAGGCTTATAAGAGTGAGTATAAATGAGTCAATCTTGTCCATAAGATATAGTCATTGTATGAGTCTGTAAGATAAAATTCAACTTGTTTGTTCTCTTTCGTTATTTGTATACATTTGCCATGAAAAGTATGTGTTTCACTTTCAAACTAATATTTTTTTAAATTCTTTATCATTTACAATCACACCACTTGACATTTGAAAAAGGCTGTATGCTACTAGATTTTTAGAGACTTCTATCTCTACTGTTTAAGTTTTACTCCCAATAACCTCATCAGTTGCATAGGAGAAATATTATCTTTTTGACGGAAGCAAAAATGTATAGGGCAAGGGAGGAAAAAAGGAAAACAAATTACTGAGCACCTACTATGCACCAGGTGCTGTGCGCCAAGCTTTCACACGCTGCCTCTCATCAAATATACACACAGCCCATGAGGTGGGCAGGATGCCTTCATTTTTACAAAGGAGGAAACTGAAATCAGACTGGCTTTGGGGCTTGTCCTGCATCACAGGTCAAGCCAGGGCCCAGTGTTGAAGTCAAACTCAGACCATATAAGTCCAGTGACCACACTTATTACTAACTGCCTCACATACAGATACAAGCAACAGCTTATACAATCTGTTCTTAGGGTTTGTTTTCAGATGTTAATCTGCACACAAAGTACTTTCTGAGATGAAAGCACAAGAAGTACTTTCTGAGATGAAAGTACAAGAAGTACTTTCAAACTTGACAGCTCTGTTAATACTATATGGTAAATTTATACTCTGCCCTTTCAAGAGACATCTGGTTTCACGGAAGTTGTCCACGGCTACAAATTCGGAGCTAAACGCACACTGATTCAGAGCTGGGATTCCAAACCACAACCAGGAAAAATGGCTCTAATTTTTAGGTAACTGGTTCATCTTTCAGTGACCATAAAAGGCTAGCTCTAACACTGAGGTCTAGTTTTTACACACACGAGACTTATAAAATGTTTAGCAATAATTTCTAACTTGAAGACCATGAGAAAACAGACTTTGGGAAAAAAGATTATATAATAGTTAAAATTCAACACAGAGCAAAAATAACTTGGGGAAATAGAATTAATTTCTTGTCTGGTAGAGATGGCAAAATAAAGGCATTTTTGTCCCCACTTCTCTCTAAAAGCTAATTAAAAACAACAAAAGAATTAAAATATATTATGAACAAAAATTTCCATCTTCAATGAAAGAAGGCAACAGCCACAAGCCCAAACCATAAACTAGGAAGTACACCTGCCAAATACTGTTAAGTCTGAATGGAGAAGAGAGACGTAGGCCTCCTGACAAGAGCAGGGTACTGGCTTCCTTAATCTAAGTGCCACCACCCTAAAAGGCAGAGCCAACAATCCTTGTATTTGAAAGACAAGAAATTGCATTGTGATTAGGCCCGGAAGACACAAGAAACGTCTCAATGGAAACCCACCCTGACAGCAAAGAATCACAGGAGAAGGAAACTGAAGGAGACAGGCAGTCAGGTCAGTTCTATCGTTTAAAACCCCAGACTCCAAAGCGAGAATGACTACAAGAAGTGAACACAGGTAGGAGAGGAGGGAGGGTGCCAACCATGATCAAATTCCAAATCAGAGAGCCCCAAGGAGTTTTATCCTGGGCCATAAAGACCTCTCATCACTAAGGAGCACACCACGAATCCTTACCCTCCTCTCCCACCCAGCAAAGGAGGTGGAGAGTTAGTGAGAGGCTGCGCATTATCCAGACTAGCACAGCCCCTGCCTGTCCTCACAATTCTGCAGCAATCAGTAGTCCCATACAAAGATGAATAATTATCATAAAAGTACTAACACAAAACCAGTGCATGAAGTTGGCCAAGAAAGAAGGAAAAAAAAGGAGGATAGAAACATGAGCAAAAAACCAGTTTCAAAAGAGACCAGAGCTTATTAGTGGTTACCAGGGGTGGGAGGGAAGGGGAAAAGGAGAGTCACTGCTTAGGGGTCACTGAGTTTCTGTTAATGGTGGTGAAATAATTCAGAAGAAGGTAGTGGTGATGGTTGTACAACATAAGGAACATGATCAACGTCACTAAATCATACATGTAAAAACTGTTGAATTAGCAAATGTTTCGTTATATATACTTTTACCACAAGAAAACTTTAAAAATAAAATAAAAATTTCAAAACATTACCCAAAGAAACAAAAGCAGAATTTGGCCAAAGAAACACATTTCAAAGAAATCACAAACTTAAGCTAAAAACCAACTTAAGAAAGAGACACAGATTCAAATAA